GCACATGCATTAACATACATACTAGCTATTGTCGGCAAGATATATGTGTCATACACTTCATATGGTAAAAGCTGTTTAATTAAAAAGTCAATTTTAATTGCAAAATGTTTCATTTGTGATTGTAGAGCTAAAGATCTTTGATTGGGAAGAAGAAAACAGGCATATAAATAATCTTTACAGATTTTTGATAGCATGCTGTTTAAATGCGAGGCGCTTGAATTGGATAATGTGGATATCCAAGTGAAGCTGTTTTCTTAGCGTCATATTCTGTTTTTGTTTCTCTCCCAGCAACCTTGTTGGAGTCATCAAAGCTGCAGAAGTATTGCAAATAAGACTTTGTCAACATTCATTTCACAATACTATTATACAGACATTAGTAGTGGAGTTCTCCTGTTTACTTGAACAATCCTTTTTTTAGGAGCCACAATAACTCAGAACACCTTATTAAGTGATGGGTCATGTGCTGTTGCTCTCCTTTTGCCCTAAACACTTTATTGTGATCTGAGGACTTTTTGCTAGAAAACTACATTCTCACTTGCACCTTCTCTCTCTTACTTTTCTAAAAGAAAAATATGCTTTTAGGCCTCATTATTACTTGAGATACACAGAATACTATATATTACCAGTAGGCCAGAAAAGTCATAAATAGCCTTTATGTTTATACTTGTAAATCTCATTATTTTGTGAAGCCAATAAAGAAAAGAACTAAAGGCTATAAAGCATAGGGCTAGTTCTAGAGATACCCAAGATACTCAGGGACAACATGAGAGAATTCTGTTTCCATGCAAAAGCTTGTCTGTGTCTCCAGTTTGGGCTGGAAAAGTCCCCTCTCTAAAACCTTGGAGGGCCACTGCTATTCAGTATAGATGAATACCGAGCTAGATGTACTAGTGATCTGTCTTCCTATGACTCATGCTGCACTGTCTCAGGATGAGAGGAATTGTATCAGGTTTAGGATAGGCTGGAGTATGCTTTACTATGAGTCAAGGGATGAGGGTTTATATGGAGGAAGGGTAGAAGTATGCAATCTTCACTGATATCAAATGTTTTCTATACGGGGATGAGCAGGGGGTTCCTAAGGTAGTACTTAGAATAGACCCATTGAATTGATGGTGCTTCAGTTTGTAATTGTAAGTAGAACTAAGATTGGCTACTACCCCGAGTATGACCATCAGTTCAGAGTTGCTTGAAGTATCTTATATTTGCTTGCAGTATGTGGGCAACTAAGTGAATGGGGCACCTTACTTTTTATTGCACAGCTGGCTAGGTTTTGCCAGCAATAGGTATAACTATGAAATTAAACCACTTCTGGGTACCTTCCTTGCTATACTAACTTGGCTTATTGTCATACTCTTAGCTTTGTATCTCTCCCTGTTTTGTCTCCTCCTGAGTGATGTGTGCTGTATATTAAATGAATGAAAAACACTGTGAGCTCTTCCTTGGCTATATAATTAAGTTTTATTGAACAAAGATAATGTCAGATTCCAATCAGAATTCTGCTTGCAGTTCAGACTGAGGTGTCCCTCCCGCAAAATAAGAGTTGGCTTTACTGCTTATCTACCAGCTAATGCAATTCTGCTCAGCCTTGCTGAAACCAACAATTCATTCCTAATCAGTCAGTCAACATTTCCAACTCCCACTGAACTTAAAGAACAACAGAAGTTATACATTTTTATGGCTAATCAGATGATGAGTAATGCACAATCAGTGACTGTCTTATGCAGCAGAGGTGGAAAAGGCTAGTAAAGTGAGCAGAGGTATATTGTTGCACATTATTTCAAGTGATGAAATGCTAGCCCAGCTGTAGTCATGGTTCAAATCACTGGGGAATTGAATGCTTTGCTTACTAAGGTGCTCTGTTTCTTCCTTGTTGCTTTTCCACTTTATTAAATTGTTAAAAATCTAGCCTGTAAGTAAATCCATAATTGGAAGAAACCACAAGGCATATTCTTATGCAGCCAGAATAAAACACTTAATACAATGAAGAGCCTGCCTTACATCCCCATGGTCTTTTCTGCTGTTACTATTTCAGTTCTTACTGAATTCATTATCTTCTTATAACCAATATTAAAACCAATCCTGTGCATGTTTGTTTGGAAGTTCAGTGGGGTAAAATTCCCAAGTTTGGCTGAATCCTATGCATACTTAATAATATGCCCATTGAATATAATAAGGTTTCTTCTGAGTAACTAGCCTGTGTTTTGTGAGTCCCTTGTATTTAAAGATGGCAAATGTTTGAACCTTTCAGAGAAAATTCTAATTAAGTATGTGATCCAGCCAAAGAATCCAGGAAGCAAAAAGTGTTTGCAAGAGGAAGTATTCCTTTGTTGTTTGAAGCATGAATTAAACACAGACTGAAGATACCCGCACAGCACTGCTTCAGATGGTGACTGGAATAAGGGCTGCATCTCCACTTTTGACTATAAGAAAGGTTCTGTGCAAATCATGCTTTGAGAATTTAGTTCCTTGTCTCCCATTTGTTAGGAAGGCCTGCCCCCCAACCCACATTGCAAACCAGTAGCCATTTTATTTCCATCTATTTGCTGTGTGGTCTCTTCCAGGTCATTTTGGTTAACTTTATTCTCTCATACATGAACTCTTTGATATGTCTTTGTTTAGAAAGGTTTTAAAAAATTAACAGTTAAAGATAAATATGACACTTGAAAGTGGCCAGGAAAATACTCTGCCACTGACCCTGTTCTTGGTAGACTTTGGTTTTGGTGGGGAGGTAGAAGAAGCCACTAAAGCTAGTGTAGTGGCCTGGAACTGGGGAGATCTGGCTTCTAGTCTCCACCTGATCCAGAAGCTTTTGATCTAGCCTACCTAACAGGGTTGTTGTGACAATAGCATTAAGAGGAAGAAGACCATGAAAGCTGCCTTGGGTTCTTGTAAGAAGGGACAAAGGCAAAATATAAGTGTAATCCCACCACCACCCTGATCACATAGGTGATAAGACATTGTTTGTATTTTTAAGGCAGCATAGTTTTTAATTTCTGTTCATCTGTAACGGGAAGGGCAACTTGTGCCCTTTCAGATGTTTTGGCTTGCCACTCACTTTGTCCTTCATCACTGGCTATACTGCTTAAGGCTGATGGGATTTTTAGGCCACGGTACTGCAGTGTCACAAGCTGCTCACCCCTGTGCCATAACCAGTCCCTTTAGAGATGCCACTTCTGTCCTTATCCTGGAGAACACAGGTTGTATTTAAATTAGTACCAGCAAATAGTTCTTCTGTGGTGGCTTGTCCTGGAAGATACATCTTAATTTGCTATTTATACACCTAGGAAAACATGAGGGCTTTGGCTCAGTGGCGGTAGGCATGTTTTGCATGCAGATGATTTCAAATGCAATTGTTGGCACCTCCAAGTTGGACTCAGGAAAATCCTGTCTGGAACCCTGGAGAACAGCTGCCAGTTAGTCTTGACAGAAATGTTTCAATGGATTGAATTGGTATAAGGCTACTTCCATTTTTCCTGCAGACATATTTCACACTCACAGTTTTTGAAAAAGTTCTTTGTTCTTGGCACCATATCTTAAAGCATAAGTAGCCATGCTCTCTGGGATACAGAGGCCCTATGGGAACAGCAGGTCATGTTTTTGTAATGTTCACCTTGACAAAATCAGCGTCAGAGATAGAGTTCCTCTTGTACTCCTTTTTCTTCCCCACACTTAATTCCTCTCGTGTACTCTTGCACATGACAATATTCCTACACTCAATTCACACTGTTAAAAAATTAGTGGGAATTCTATTGGTAGATCACCATGGTACTGTATGTGGATCATTTGTGCTGTGTGTGTGCAGTATGGGCGGCTGTCACCCAGTTATGGTCCTCAGTCTGGCTCCAGAACAGGTCATAGCTCAGCCTTGCTTGTAGAATTTTCCAGGTTCAGTGGTAGGAGATGGAGAAAACTCCATCAGGGGCTCTGTACAGTCACTATTATTCAAAGTTGATATTGATGGACTGTATGAATCAGTCATATGACTTGGTATAGGGCATTGCAATCTGTTCACACTTTTTACTGCCTTCAGTGGAAGATGCTGCCTTGTGATATAACGCTGAGCCATTTTGAGTTGAAAATCAATAAGCTGAATGGCAAGATGCCAAGTTTCAGATCTGCAAAAAATAATCTGGCTTGTTATCAAAGACTGGTATAAAGAAGAGCGTTGCTTCCTGTTGTCTGCACTTCACTTTAAATTTCCTTTTTTCCACCTCAGCCCCTGATTGTGAATCCCATGCGGGGAGTGCTGTGCATCTCATTGCAAAAGTTATGGGATGGTTCCACTCAATAAATTACAGAGAGGCACGAAAAGTAGGCACAAAAACTCTACATTTTCAACTGACTGAAGTTGTTCAGAAATATCTGTATGTTGCAGTTAATATCAAACATCTGTTGTCAGCCCAATAAATCAGTACAGCATAGTCGATAAACTCCGATTTGGATCATCTTTATTGCCTTATGTGATATGAAGTTCTATAGTTCTTTTGTCATATCATGTTGTGGATGAAGTTAGGGAAATTTTAAATGGTAAGCATACTTCAGAAGTATTCATTGTTGTAAGGAGATCATCCCTTTACAAATTAGCAATATATATAAAATGCTCAGTGCTAAGTTGTGTGGTAGGAACTGACAAGCAGTGGCTTGATTTAATATTTCTCAGCGTTAGATTTTGTAATTTCTGTAAGTTTAGTATGGCAGTTGTTTGTCTATAGCATGTTTGTGACATTAATCATGATGTGTATGTGTTTTGCCGATTGTGTTAATATTTCTTTATAATATGGTGGTGACCTTACTTAAATGTGTTTTCATAATTTAGGATACATTGTTTCTTCCTTTTGCATGTCTATTCAAAAGTAAGTTAATGTATGTGAAGCCAGATCTTCTATGTGCTTATTTACACCCCCAACCCCCTTTTTGATAGTCTTGCAAACTTGATGAAAATGTTGATGTGTTCCATTAAATAATATAATCTCCTTTGTTTTTGCTTTTTGTTTTTTTAGAATTTCCTCTTACTGAGAACCTGGTAGAGGAAGAAAAGATTCAAGACGCATTTGACAAATGATCCACATATTCATTAGATATATTTCTTTTGTTGCAAGAAATCTTACTCATAAAGAAAAGGCTTAATCGCATTCAGTTTAAAGCTGGCTTGATTTCCTCACCTGTTAGACTAATAAACTCATTGAAGTTCAAGTGACTCTTTCATTGGTTATGCTTCGTGCCACTGCATCTGCCTATGACACCACCATATCATCCCTGTGACCACAGTATACCACCTTGTTTCATGAGCATAGCTCTGGGTTATCACATCTTATGCATACGTGCTGGTTTAGCAAGATAGAGGACTGAGCAATAAGGAAGAGAGTTAAACAACAAAAGCATCATCTTTGGCGTGGTGGAACTAGCTGGTCCAAGTGGGGCCTGCAACAAGTGGGCCCCTCTAAGTTAGTCTATATTCTGTGGGCACTGAGCATGCTCAGTTATGATTGCACTATTTTTCAAAGGGGGGTTTCTCTGTAAAGTTTTGTAAAGATCTTTTGTACTCCCCCTCCCCCCGCCAATGCCTGCAGAATCCTCCTCTTTGCATATCTGTAGTGCCTTTTTGGCTCCATAAGGATTAGAGTGCAGAGCCTGAATTTCGAACCTGAGAAAGAATGATGAAGGAAATTCAGTGTTTCAGTCATCAGACTGATAGTGGGTGGAGTACTTGCAGGACAGAACAAACAGGCAAAAGATTTTGCTTAACCCTGCTCTTATCCCCAGAGTCTGCCCTGCAAGTGTCGCCACCAACCTCCTTGCTATTTTCATCACTGTTACTAGGCCCAGGCTACTAAATGTGTGTAGCCAGCAGCATATAATGCACCCTGGGATGCACATTTGGTTGTCCCTTACTTCCCTACACATTTTCTAGATTCAGTTATATTTATTTGTTTTACTTTATTTATGAAATATTTTCAGCCATGGTTCCAAAGACAAGCATATAGGTCAGTCAAAAATTATGCATAAAACAACATCTTAAAAAGTGTTAAAATCTCAGATCCAGTAATAGTAACTGCAGCCACAAGAACTCCAACAACTATCAAAGAACAGGAATATGTATCCCAAAGTATGGCAGAATGACGTGTATCATCACTTGCCTGAGGAAAGACACCAGTAGAGGAACCAAACTTGCAGAGCTACAACCAAAAATATATTGTGTCTTGTTGCCACTAATCTGACATCTACATAGGATACTACCTGAAGGGCCTCATCAGCTGGTATTAGATTCAGGGATACTTGTATTTGAGGAGCATGGTTCCAAAAATGACCACCACGAGTATGGTGTAGTTGTAGCCACAGCTATGACCAGTTTGAGAACTGTACTACATATCCCTTCTTGATCAGTCCATGATGAAAAGAAGGGGCGTAGTTCTAGCTTATTGTATGCTAGAATCCAGGGATGTTCCAGGTGTGTGAGAGAGAAATGCCCCATTTCCAGGGTCATGGGAACGTGTTGTCTTGGACTATGGTATTTCCCACTTTTCAGCACTCTCAGAGTTGTACTCTCCATTTTGAAAACCCTGTGAATTAATTGACTGGTCAATGAGAACTTGGCCTGAGATTTCAGTATTTTATACATTTTGTTGGTTTCAATTCTCTCCAATCATGTCTGAATGCCATCTGTGTCTACTCAAGCTTCCAGTAGATTTGCAGATAAAGATGCATCAGTAGCAGTACAAAATGAAATGTTTTTGTAGAAAGTCCTGAGGTAGTGTTTTTTTTCTTTTGCATTTAGAACATCACAGCTGGCTTTCCTTTTTGAGAAATGAGAATTCTAAGGCCCTAGCCCTCAAACCAGTTAGCTTCAATCACCTTGAAGTCAATAAAGTTACTTTTACAATGAATGATAAGAGTTTATGGTCAGAGGCACAGGTAGTTTTAAAAACATGCCTGGTGCCATAAAATGAGTCACAGTAAATATTTTAGGTCTAGCCCTAGACCTAATATTTATTCCTGCCTTATCTACAGGTAAATGAAAAATGATGGTGGACTTTTTAAAAAAGCATACTGTTAAATCTTCTCAAAACACACTCAAGTAGCAAGCGCCAGCAAGATTTTAGCCAAAACGACCACTGAGAAGAGGGGAGCATTAGCATGAGTGGGGGAACCCCAATGCTTGCAGAAGTACAGAAAATATTTAAAAGCCTGGAGGGCATTCCTCCATCATGCCCCCCCCCGCAAAAAAACCCCTCTTCATAGCCCATTGAGGGCTGTCCTTGTTCAGTAGCCATAAAAATATTGACTGTTAGTTGAGAGGGGAAAACAGAAAACTAGAAGTGGGGAAAGTGGAATATTCTGCTTGAGAGTCATGTGGTACCTGGAGGAGGGCATGGTTGGGTACAATCCTGAATAGGAGCACTCCTATTTGTAGGTGAGGATGTGCTGCTCTGTTGCAGTTCCCCCTTGATCTACTAAATTATTATATTTTGCTATACACTTCTTGTGCAGTTATTTTATTGCAGATTAGAAACTGCTCCTGAGTTTTATAAGAGAATTAGCATATATACAAATTACAGTTATTGCCAGATATCTCCACAATCAGCCGAGTGCCTTTTAACCAATTTGCCAAGTGCTAATATTTTATATGCAGGTCAGTTCAGACAGTTCATGTGTTTGATCAAGGGGTTGCTGAAGTGCAAGGAGATGCAAAAATATTCGTACCACATAAAACTCTTATTATTTATTTTATTTATTTAAAACATTTCTATGCCACCCCCATCGCAACAAAGCCTCGGGGCGGCTCACAAAGAATACATAAAACATACATAAATAATATAACAATTATGCAATACCTTCAGCAATTCCAGTGGACTCAAGAGTCCCAGGACAAGGATACCAGGCGATCCTAGCCCTGCTCCCTGCAACTTTTAAAAGATTCTTGGAAAATGTTAGGATGGTAGTCTTTCTCACCCTTTCTGGCATCTTGTCTTGCTCTTTGTCTCCCCTCCATCCTTTTTCCATGCTCTTATACCCTCCCTCCCAGCTGTTATCCTATTTTTCCCCAGTCTCTTAAGCTGCCATTGTTTTTTCCCTGCCCCTTTGCCTTGCTGAGTCCCTTCTTCCAGCCAGTCAGCCTGCCTGCCTGCCTGCAGCTTTCCCCATCTCTTTAGCTTGCTATTTCTACCCACCTCCCAGTCTCTAGCCTTAATCTTTCTCTCCCCTCTACACCTCTGTCTTGCTTCTCCTGCTCCGATAATCCCTAGCCTCACTCTCTCACACATATACCCCTGTTTAGCTTAGTATTAACTAGCCAGGCCCCCATTATGGGACTAGCCACATCCGCCTTAGGAGCTGTTTTGTGGTGGTGCCCTGAACAGTTCCTCAAATTTCCAAATGTTCCACAGGTCTAAAAAGGCTGAGCAACATGGTCCAGAATTCAGTTCCAATCAGAAGATACAGCACAAGCTGTGAATACTGCCTGGTATAGCTTGCAAGAAGAAAAATCAAAGAGATCATTCCTTATAGGGGACAGATGGTTTCTGCTAGTTTTGTTAAACCCAGAGCTATATCCACTGCCCAATGGTGGACAACCTTCTGATATACTGATATTTCTGCAAAGCCTGAGTGATGGTTATTGCATTTATCGCTGGTGAAATCTGAACGGTCTTTTATAGCCTGAAGTCAAACATAATTGCATCAAAACATGTCCTACTGACTTCATTAGTTCTTGCTTTCAAGCGAGTATGCTTATTAAAGAGACACTTGCTACAATGCAGACATTCTGGAGAAACATGTAATGATGTCCCTCTTTCTGGTCATACTTTTTCTCAGTCCTCATTAGAAAAACACTTTTATGGTGAACAAGCCCTGTTCCATTTATTAACTCATTTATTTTTTTCCCAATCCAGAGTATGGACTTGTGACTTGACCATGTACTCACTTTCCCCTTCTCATTCTCCTGCCTTTTATAACATCCTGTCTGAAGAAGAAATATGGTCTTGAAAGCTTACAAAGTTTTTTTGGGGAGATGATAATTTGGTTGGGCTAAGAAAAGTATTCCAGCATCATAGATACTGTAAGAGGGAAAATGACCCACAATACCTAGATGGGATAGAAGGCTGAAGTATGCATTTAAAAAGCATCAAGATTATTCCCAGGACAGTTGAATGGGGCCGGGGTGCTTGTCTGGCCACATGTTCAAACTAGAAGTAATGATGGCAACACAGATACAAAGAAACGTGACTAAACATCTCACCTTGCTTTCTTACTTTTAAGTGTGAGCATTTGGTTTTTTCATTCCAGTGAACCTATTATTAACTGTGAAAGAGTGGGCTGAGAGGTGAAAGGGCATTGGATTTATATTTCAGCTATTGCATTAGTGGCTTGTTTATTTCCTAAACCTATTTGGAACAAAGAACCATCAAGGGAAGAACAAATGCATCAGAGGAGACTAAACCCTGGAGATCATTTAGTTCAGTGTTGTGCAGCTTTTAAGAACCAGTTGGGGCTGGTCATGCAGGATAAAAACCAGCCTCTCCCAAACTGGTTCCCTACACATGTTTAGGATTTCAAAACTTATCAGCTCTAGTTGGTATGGTCAGGAATCCTGGATGCTGTCCTAAACAACTGGAAGGCACCAGGTTGGAGAAGGCTGGTATGAACTAACAATACATACAAGGACACGGAATCCTTTCAGAACCCCATTCTGCGTCTGCGTTGAGAAAGGTTTTTAGGACAAATGCTCCATGTCTGCTCTACTGTCAGCACAAACTTTAGCAGTTCTCCTAGTCTTTAAATTGAACTACCTAGAATAAACAAACGGTTAGCAAATGGACCAAGTCTTTTATATGTCTTTGAAACGTAGACTGGGCACTTGTGATAGATATTAAACATTCCTTTTACTGAGTTGCATTTTTGTGGTAATCTTGATTATGAAGTAATCTCAAGTTTGCATCCATGCCAATTCATTAGCTGACCAAAGGAGCTTTTCATGCCTGCTGACCCCAGTTTTTCAGCAGTATATTACTTAACTCATTATTACCTGGAAAACCTAAAGACAGTAGCTTGATTGGCTGTTTTCATACAATAGCACTCTAGATCAAATAATTATGTTCAGAGAAAAACACTAGGGTATCCAATGCAACCTGACCCAAACAAACCGAAACCAGCCAGGCTGGTTTTCCTGGCTTTCCCATATCGTCTCCTGTTCTGCT